GCGATGAGAGACGAGAGAGAGATGTGTTATATATATGGTAACGTACTCCTCGTAGCGCGGGAAGACGAGACGAGAGAGAGAGAGTGTGTTATATATATACCTGTCGCGGCTGGGTAAGCGTCGTTCCTGGTGGAGGAGGAGGAGAGAGAGAGACAAAGGAGAGAGATCGTGTTATAGTATAGGTAACGTCTCGTGTAGCGGGAGAGAGGGGAGAGAGAGAGGAAGACAGAGAAGAGGAGGAGAGATGTGAGACGAGAGAAGAGAGAGAGAGAGAGAGAGAGAAAGGACGAGGGCAGGGGAGAGAGGGATGGATGGTGAGAGAGGGGGAGGGGGGGTTGGACTTACCTGCATCAACTGTTTGGTTTTTTGAGCATTCATTTTGACTGGTGCTATACACAGATCCCTTGACCGCAGGTCATTCATATCCAGACCCTGCTGCTGTTCTCCCATCTGCTCTGGTGATGAGACGTTACTGGACAGCTGTGAGTCTGCAGCATCAGTGAAGCACGCATTAGATTATTTCATCTTTATTGCATTTAATTCAAATACGAATACAAGTCTTTCTCATGGATGAAAAGTCTGATAAATGCAAAGAAAAAATCGGATAAATGCATTGCAGATTCGCTGCAATTCCATTCAAACGTACAGAGCGGAAATGTAAACTACTAACACGCTACAAATAAATGTTGTATAGTCGGGGAGATGCTGCATTTGATCGGTGCAAACGTTTCAAACTGTATGAGTACGAGCTCAGTTATTTTAGCCAGAACGAAATAGCCAGCATGTGAGGAGTATGTAGTTATCACCATGCCTATTCATACAACTGATATACACTGAAGAACATCTTCGAGGCCAAAATTTGAGGTACAATTTTGACAAATTATACTAAATTTCAGACATCGTCTCTACGTACCAATGAAAACCCAAAATTAAGATCTTGATTAGCTTAATTGTAATAGCTTGATTAGACCTATTACCTTCACCATCGTGGTCACATTCTCCATCCATACTCCTACTATCAGCACTGTACTCTGTTGGCTTACTTGAGAAGTATCTGCAAATAATCAATGGAAAATTCATATTGCAAATTCACATTTTTAAACCTTTAAAAGTAGGCATTCAAAAGTGTTACCATTGCATAAGAAAAGCAGCACACTTTAGATTCTTTTTATTAACGGCTGACGTCACAACGTAATATATCATCCTTTTTTTATCGCATGAATGCCCCCTTTTTTAATGTAATTTGAATTAATTCACCTATTCTAACATATTTAAATGTTTTATATTATTTACCATTTCATACATTTAAAAATGCACAACCCCCCAATTTCAGCGTTAATTGCATATTGTAAACATCAGCGGAATCTTCGTCGGGCGCAGCTAGATGGCGCCGCGTCTCACACGCTCCCTTGACCCGTGTCTATCTTGCACCCGTGCGCGTCTCGGACACTCGCACATGTCTCACACGTCTCCGCATCTCGCATCTCACACCTCTCCGCATCTCGCATCTCACACCTCTCCGCATCTCGCATCTCACACGAGGCGAGCGAGAGCGAGAGCGAAGAGCGAGAAAGGCGAGAGGGAGAAGGGAGAGGGAGAAGGAGAGGGAGAGGGAGAGAGGAGAGGTGAGAGGGAGAGAGAGAGAGAGAGAGAGAGCGAGAGAGAAAGAGAAGAGGAGAGGGAGAGGGAGGACGAGAGAGAGAGGAGAGAGAGGGGAGAGGAGAGAGAGAAGAACTCATCACACCGTGGCAGGCAAGGTGTGAGACGTACCCAGGTGTGAGACGCGCGCGGGGTGTGTGTGAGACGCAGGTGAGAGAGAGAGAGAGAGTCATTACATCCGCAGTGGCAGGTGTGAGATGTATCCAGGTGTGAGATGTATCCAGGTGTTGGATGTAGCCTATTTGGGAGAATGTATTACCAGGTGCTGAGATGTACTATTTTAGATGTATGCCAGGTGTGAGAATGTACCCAGGTGTGAGATGTATCCAGGGTGAGATGTACCGCGGCATGTGGAGATGTATGCCAGGTTGAGACTGTACTAGGTGTGAGATGTATCCAGGTGTGAGATGTATGCTATTTGTGAGAATGTATCGCAGGTGTGAGATGTACCCAGGTGGTGAGATGTATCCAGTGTGAGATGTATCCAGGTGTGAGATGTAGCGCTAGGTGTGAGATGTATCCAGGTGGTGAGCATATACGCTAGGTGTGAGATGTACTTATTTGTGAGATGTATCGCAGGTGTGAGATGTACCTATTTGTGAGATGTATGCCAGGTGTGAGATGTACTAGGTGTGAGATGTATCCAGGTGTGAGATGTATCTATTTGTGGAGATGTAATCCAGGTGTGAGATGTACCTATTTGTGAGATGTAGCCCAGGTGTGAAATGTATCCGCAGGTGTGAGATTACTAGGTGTAGAGATGCTATCCAGGTGTGAGATATACGCGTAGGTGTGAGATGTACGCTATTTGTGAGATGTATCCAGGTGTGAGATGTACCCTAATTTGTGAGAGTACCCAGGTGTGAGAGTATCCAGGTGTGAAGTATGTATGCAGGTGTGGAATATACGTAGAATGTGAGATGTCCTAGGTGGTGAAGATGTAATCCAGGTAGTGAGATATAACCTAATTTGTGAGATGTATCCAGGTGTGAGATATACCTATTGAGTTTGTGAGATGTACCAGGTGTGAGATGTACCCAGGTTGTGAGATGTACCAGGTGTGAGATGTACCTAATTTGTGAGATGTAGTCCCAGGTGTGAAGATGTACCATAATTTGTGAGATGTATCCAGGTGGTGCAGATGTACCTATTGTGAGATGTAACCAGGGTGTGAGATGTATCCCAGGTGTGAGATGTACCATAGTGTGGTGAGATGGTTATCACAGGTGTTGAGAAATATACCTAGGTGTGAGATGGATACGCTAAGTGTGGAATG